GTAAGGATTAAATAATATGGGACCAGCCTGCTATTTCCAACATGGTATATGTCATGTTATTCTGATTTATGAGAGATCGAAATCGTATTTGGAACCAGCAAAGCCCAGTAGGTTTCTAAAATTTTCTGGGGGCTAGAGGACCCCCATCACCCCCTCCTATGACCTGTTTTTCACGCCCTCCCTCCTTGGAGATCCTAAACCGCACCTGAAACACATTACAATATCTTGTGAGCCAGAGAAACATGAACAAAATGTTGCTTTTTCGCATTGGATTGCAGAGCCTGAGAGGTAGAGGAGCCGTAGGCGTTGTGTAGAGGGAGCGCGGAGAGCCAGTTAAATACTTGAAGTATTCCACTATCTTTGGACAGTCGCCTGTTTTTCGTCCCCCTTGTTAAAAATCCTGGGCTACGCGCCTGTTTTTGGGTGTTTTCATGGTCATATTATTATGTGATGAAAAATTAGGAGATTTGGGGATATTTTTGGATCAACCAGAAATTTTGTCGCGGACAACCGATTTATGCGGTGTGTGTCCGCAGGACAACCAGCATTTTTTTTTTCTTATTTCGAGCACTGATAATGGTAGTTTATGCTTAACTTGTTAAGTATTTTTTCACACGAGTAGGTGGTGGTAATTAAAACATTGTTCAATGCAATAGCAGGTTAGTTTCATTCATTGAACAATACAAAAATGAAAGTTTACGCCATTTTAAACGCATTTTTAACTACCATACATTCACAACACGCAAAATCCATGAAATTTTTCTTACACACACGTTAGTGTAGTTTTATAAGTTGGAATCATGGAATAATCACTGCTTTTGAAACTACACATCTTTTAAGATATACTTGCAGCGGTGCGAAATTAACGGCGGTGGTCCGGAGTCAAATGTTACTCTCTGAGCTAAGATCATATATGCAGGCCAGTCTGTGTGACTCCTGAAAATCTGCCATATTTAGCTAACTAGCTTCGTTCGGAGCCACGGCTCGCCCGACAGAATTACTTAATTTTTTTCAGGTAATGCCCATAAGAAAAATTTGGCAGGGATGTGCAACTGCCATTGAATCTTAAAAATAAGCACATGCGTTATTGTTAATATCGCTTTATTAAATTTTATAACCTCAGACTCGCGAACTCTCATTTGCTGCGCGTCTCCCTCTTTTTCGAGGGTAGGGGAGTCCGTTGGAAGTTAATATTTCTACCTGATACTTGCTGCGTCGCTCCCATGAATCATTAAAAACATTGAAATAGATTACAATGCAATGTTTGAAAGCCATTGGTGAACTAGATTACCAAAAATTCTGACAATGACTTCACGTGGCGATGGTTTACTATTGCTCATGGTGCCGTCTACAACTTTTACATCGGTAGACAGCAAGTCTATGCGGCAGCAGTGGATAGGTGTGTGCAGGTTGTCTCCCAGAATTCAGAGAAGTATGTCATTTAAGACAGATAGGGCCGCCTGTCGGCCTGTATACCTTCGGTTCGCGACAGACGACTAGCGGATCCATCACAGTCCGAATGGGATAGTAACCGACCATGACCCACGTGTTATTCAAGAATGGCGGGCGCCCATACGAGAATCGCACTTCAGCTGTTTTGTTTATGAGTTTTTCGAGTATGATTATTGGCACGATGATTCAAAAACAAAATTCTGTCTCAAGACAGCTTAGTCTGGATGTGTGATGGTCCACTCAAGCATTAGTGATGTGTGGCACAAATTTCCAGTTCAATACTGCCGAGATATAATCTTTTTCGATGTAACTGATACCAACGCCTTCACTAAGCCCGCCATCGTTGAACCGAGCTTCGACCAACCTGCGGAGATTGAGTACAACTCGGTCGGACTACCGGTTCGGACTAAAGCACGTGTTTCTTCGGCGTGCATCTAGTCCCGACATAGTCAAGAAAGAAATCGTGCCACCGAAGGCAGCCTAGGTGAGGCCCCATTTTGTGTGCAATTGAAGTCAATTTGCATTTGCCATTTAACCCAGCCTCTCATAGATGTGATCTCAGTCAGTTTGATGCGTACACATCAAGCTTTAAAAAACAGTTATCATAAACATTATGTATTTGATAGTTTTCAAATAGAAACACAGCTGGGAAAATAACGGCATGCTTGAGTTAGACAATCGTCAAGACATGTCTGAGAGAGTTTTGGCGATGTTCTGTGAATTAGCTCTCGCTTTGAACGGCATGGCGGGCCCTGTGGCTAGATTGAGCCCTGCGGAGACACCAAGTGCTGTTGTAGGGTATGAGCTGCAATGTTAGATTTATGCGCTTCGTTGAGACAAAACTGACTCGATGTGTGATTGTAGGTCCTCGTGAACGTGATGGACGGCGCAGGGTGTTGACGCTGCGGAGCGGTAGTCGGTGGCCCGGGACTGGAAGCTGGGGCAAGCAGCTCGATGCTGTGAAGCCTACGTCCGGCCACAGTTCCGTAATTCGAAGCGCCAGAGGAAGCTGTTTGTGCTTGTGGACCGCCACAGCCAGCTATATTACAGGTAATTACTATATATGTGTTGGCCGATGTCTACACGTGTAGTGTCTATTGTGTGTAACCGGTAATGAGAGGCTGGTTACTTAGTAGAATATGTTTTGCCTGATAACGGCGATAGTACTTTTTTGATTGCTGTAAATAATATTCCATGGTTTTCTAACCATATTTTATTTACCGGTTCTTTTATGAATCAAAATTATATTTACTGTGGGAAAAAAGATGTGATAATAGAGTCGGTGTATTTCATGCGTGAATTTAGCTTGTGTGCCATAGGTGTGCAGGTGCGTTATGACCTTTTCGCAGTCTTGCGACGTGCGCTACAGGTATCAAAGCACGATGGCACGATTGTGTTGGACACCTGTGGTGAGAATGCAGCTCGATCTACGGTCTCGCTGGGAAAGTGCGGCCCACGACAGTGCACCAACTTACGACCTCTGGCTCGCGCGTGCGTGTTTACCATTGGCCTGACAAGCAACCAGCCGCTGTGCGCCACCGCTTCGTTGTTTCCGCATCAACGCGCGCCAAGGGTACCGATTAGGCGCTGATCGAACCGCGCCGGAGAGGCCAAGAAAGATTGCGCATAACGGGGAATCTTTCCCGTGCACGTGTGGTGTGTGCGCGGCGTCGACTGGCGAGTGGGAAGACAGGAGGGGCCAACGGCCGGCGCGGCAAGGTCACGAGATCAGGATTGGACGTAGGCGCGGCCGCAGTCCAACGCAGCGCCGCCTCATGTCATATCTGGGACAACGCCGCGCGAAAGAACCTCTACCGCTCGGCTTCCGATGGCATGTGCCGACCCTGAAGGTCGGTCAACGACGCCAAAGGCGGCTCGGTCTCATATCGCGACCACCTTAGCCCCTCCTTGGCGAGCAGGGGGTCGGCCGCGGTCAGGGACCAAAACGGCTTTGCAGCATCGGGCGGGATGCCAGCGTCAGCCCCGAAGAATTGCACGACAAGAGCATTTGATGATTCAGTTCGATAAATTTGAGCCAGTTTTGGGAATCGAAATGTGTTACAACGAGTCGCATTGTCTGTGCCGATCGGGATCAAATGAGCGTCTCGAAGCGCGGAAAAAAATAACGCACTGCAATGGTCAGCTTATTGAGATCGCCGGCGTACCGAGACCGCTAATTATTTAAATTGGCTAGTTTTTTAGTAACCTTATCATTTCATCTTTCCGCCTGTACTGTCAGCCATAGCAGTTTTAATGTGATTTGTGTTCACACTAAACGTTAATTTGTCCCTAAATCCAAGTTTGTATGTGCTCTGGCTGGAAGCGTTGAACGTTGACCTGGGAGCGGAGGATCGGTGAGTCAGCTGCAGCCACGGGCCACGGCGGGCTGGACGGACGGCACTGTTGAGTACGCTCGCGGAAACGGACGACGGGGCAACGATCGTCCGGCGGGATCGGACAGGAGAGCTACGAGGACCACCGACACTGTCGTCGCTTACTCCGAGCGGCCAACGCCTGGACCGTTCACCCGCGCGGCTGCTCACCAGCGGGTAGCCAGCATATCTAGTAGTGGACGTGCTGTCAGTTGGGATGATCGTAGCTGAGCTGTACGCTGTAGTGATTGGTCGGCATAGTAGTGGGTAGCTTGTTAGTGATTATGAGTGAGTAGTTGGGTAGCTGTGAGTGATGATTAGTAGTAGTGGTAGCTGGTAGTGATGGTTGCGGGTAGTTTCAGTGGATAGCTGTAGTGATGGTCGCGTCAGTAGTGATAGTGTTAGTATGGTGGTAATGTAAGTGGTAGCTGTAACAGTAGTGGGGATGGGTGTAAGTGGTACCTGTAGTGATTATAGGTAGTTAGTGGTTAGCTGTAGTGATGGTGGTATAGTGGTAGCTGTAGTGATGCTGGTAGTAGTGGTAGCCTGTTAGTGATGTGGGAGTGAGTGGTAGCGGTTAGTGATGGTGGTGTAGTGTAGCTGTAGTGATTGATGTAGTAGTCGTAGCATGTTCAGTGCATGATAGTAGTAGGTGGTAGCTGTAGTGAATGTGGTAGCTAGTGTAGCTGTAGTGTATTGCGTGGTAGTAGTGATAGTGTAGTGATGGTTGGTTGTGTGGTAGCTGTAGTGATTGGTCCGGCTTAGTAGTGGTTAGCTGTAGATTGAATAAGGTAGTAGTGCAGTAGCTGTAGTGATCGGATGTAAGTGAGTGGTACGCTGTATCGATGGTGGTAGTAGTGGTATAGCTGTAGTGATGTGGTGGTATAGTGGATAGCTGTAGTGATGGTTTAGTAGTGCGTAGCTGTATGTGATGGTCGGTAGTAGTGGTAGCCTGTAGTGATGGTGGTATGTAGCTGGTGCTGTAGTGATCCGGTCGGTAGTAGTCCGGTAGCTGTAGTGATCATATGGCGTGAATTAGTGGCTAGCTGTAGTAGATGGTGGCGGTAGTAGTGTGTAGCTGTAGTGATGTCGGTTAGTAGTGCGTAGCTGTAGTGATGATACTAGTTAGTAGTGGTAGGCATGTAAGTGATGGTGTAGTAGTGGTAGCAGTGTGATGGGTACCTGGTTAGTAGTGGTAGCCTGTAGTGATTTATGGTCAGTAGTGGTCTAGCTGGTAGTGATTCGGTTAGTCAGCTGGTACGGCTGTAGTGATTGGTGGTAATAGTGGTAGCTGTAGTCGATTGGATAGTAGTAGTGGCCTTTAGCTGTACCTGCTTCATGTGCGTAGTCAGTGGCTAGCTGTAGCTGATTGGTGCTAGTAGTGATTAGCTGTAGTGATGATAGTACAGTTAGGTGTAAGGCAGTAAGTGATCGGGTTGCGGTAGTAGTGTAAGCCAGTAGTGGATGGTGGTAGCTAGTAGTGGTAAGCTGTTAGTGAATATATGGTACAGTTTAGTGGTAGTGCTAGTGATTAGCATAGTAGTTAGTCGGTAGCTTTGAGTGATGCGTGGTAGTAGGTGAGTAGCTGTAGTGATGGTTCGGTAGTTAGTGATAGCCTGTAGTGATGTGGTTGTAGTGGTAGCTGTCAGTGATGGTGGTAGTAGTTGGGTAGCTGTAGTGATTATCGGTAGTAGTGGTAGCTGTAGTGATGGTGGTAGTAGGTGGTAGCTGTTAGTGATTGGTCGGTAGGGTAGTGGCTAGCTGTAGGACATCGGTGGTAGTGGGTGGCCCCAGCGCCTGGTCAGCCGTAGTAGATGGTGGTGAGTAGTGCCGTAGCCTGCTAGGTGATATCTCCCGTCCGTAGTAGTCGGTAAGCCCCAGTCCAGTCGATGATGGTACGTAGTTCGCGCAGCTAGTTAGTGATGGTGTACGCTGCCGGGGGGTCGGCTCCCGGCTTTCCACGCCCGCCGGTACTGATGGGTTCGGTGACGTAGTGGCTACGCTGTCTAGTGCCATCCAGGCTCGGGGTGTAGGGTAGCTGCTATGATGATCGCGCTCAGGTAGTGGTGCAGCGGAGTAGTGATGGTACGGTACGTGCGTGCGGGGGTAGCGGTAGTATGGTCGGGATAGTAGTGGTAGCCTGTAGTGCAATGTTGGGTATCAGTGGTAGCTGGTATGTTGATGGTGGGTAGTAGTGGCTAGCAGTACCAGCTAGCTGATGCATGCGTAGTAGTGGCGTTGCCAGTAGCTCGATGCGTGGTAGTCGGTTGCCGGGCCCCCCTCGCCCCCCCTCGGTTCGCTCGGACGCGGTGAGTGATGGTGGGCTAGTAGTGGTAGCTGTAGTAGATGGCTGGTAGAGTGGTAGCTGTAGGGGATGTGGTAGTGGTCCCCGTGAGCGCGCCGGTCCTAGTGATGTGTCCGGGTAGCTAGTGGTAGCTGTAGTGATCCGGTGGTAGTACGTCGGTGCTGTAACGTAGATTGTGGTCAGTAGTTGGTAGCATGCTAGTCGATCGGTCCGGTAGTCCACAGTTGGCTCACTGCTGTATGTGATGGGTCGCCCGGTGAAGTAGTGGCTAGCTGTACGCTGATTTATGGTAGTAGCTGCGTAGCGTACGTAGTGCATGATAGTAGTAGTGGATAGCTGTGTGTGATGTAGTAGTGGTAGCAGTAGCTGTATTGGTTGGGTCAGTAGTGCGTGAGCTGTAGTAGAGGCTGGTTAGTATGGTATGCTGTAGTGATCGATTAGTAGTAGTCGGGGTACTGTGAAGTGACTGATCGCTCAGTCAGTGGTTTAGCCCAGTCAGTGAGGTCGGTAGTAGTGCGTAGCTGTAGCTGATGGTCGGTAGTAGTGGTAGCTGTAGTGATGGTCGGTACATGTAGTCGATAGCTTAGTGATCGGGTGGCGTAGGTGGCTGGGTAAGCAGTAGTGATGGTCAGGTAGTTGTGGTAGCGGTACGTCGATGGTGGCTAGTAGTTGATGGTGTTAGTAGCTGGTAGCTGTAGTGGTCGGTCGGTAGTAGTCTGGTAGCTGTTAGTGATGATGGTAGTCAGTGTCAGCAGTATGTGATGGGCCTCGGTTTAGTGGTGGGAGCGCCGGTAGTGATGGTGGTAGTAGTGGTAGCTGTAGTGATGGTGGTAGTAGTGGTAGCTGTAGTGATGGTGGTAGTGGTGGTAGCAGTAATGATGGTGGTAGTGGTGGTTAAAGCAGGTGTAAATAATTGCAAGGGAGTTTGAAAACATATTTTCCCACATTATTACTGATTTTCCTCTTCAATATTTGAGCTTGTTTTTGAGCTTATTCTGTACCCCTATTATTCGCCCACCTTGTACTGCAGTTGGTTTATATTTCATCTACAGTCATATTGCCATTAATTGTATTCAAACACTACTATAGTTTGCAGTTCTTGTGGTATGTTGTCTCATCTGTACAGCCGTATTTTGTCGAACAATAGTAGCGACAAGAACACCAATCAGCTGCATGTCGTACAGTTAAAATGTCGTCAGTACTTTAAACACGTAGTGCAGGCAATACACATTATCACATGCAACTTGTAATTGCAGATGAATACCTATCTTGCAAACCAATTACATTAGTGATCGTGTGATGACAATATTATCATCATGTATTCACGCATGCAAGGATAAGTTGGTAATAAAATGATAATACGTTGAAAACAAAATCTCATCAGTGGAACATGCGTGTCTCAGGGAAGGCGGCATATCAACTGTCGTTAGGTGTCCCTTGTTATATTATTGACGATTGTTGAATTGTTTTCTTGCAAGGTGTGCACGGGCGCGACGAACATCAACGAGAACACGGCTGCGCGGCAGGAGTTTGCCGTCGGCGACCTCGTGCAGATCTGCAGCGACGGCGAGCGCATCAAGATGCTGCAGCGTGGCCACGGCGAGTGGGCCGAGGCGATGATGCCGACGCTCGGCAAGATCGGCCGCGTGCAGCAGATCTACCACGACGGCGACCTCAAGGTGGAGGTGAGCGGCACGTCGTGGACGTACAACCCGGCCGCGGTGACGAAGGTCGCGTCGGACGGCGTCGCGCCGGGCACATCGAGCGGCGAGCGGCTCAGCGCGCTGCTCAAGAAGCTCTTCGAGACGCACGTGTCGGGAGACATCCACGAGGAGCTCGTGAAGGCGGCCGCGAACGGCGATGCGCAGAAGGTCGAGGAGCTGCTCTCGCGGCCCGACGCCGACGTGAACGGCATCTTTGCCGGCCACACGGCGCTGCAGGCGGCGAGCCAGAACGGACACGCCGAGGTCGTGAAGGTGCTCATCCGGCACACGTGCGACTTTGAGATCGAGGACAAGGACGGCGACCAGTCGGTGCACCACGCGGCGTTCGGCGACGAGCAGGGCGTCATCGAGCTGCTCGCGCGCGGCAACGCCGACCTGAACGCGCGCAACAAGCGTCGCCAGACGGCGCTGCACATCGCCGTCAACAAGGGTCACGCGAGCGTCTGCAAGACGCTGATGGAGCTCGGCTGCCACCCGAGCCTGCAGGACTCTGAGGGCGACACGCCGCTGCACGATGCCATCAGCAAGAAGCGCGACGACATGGTCGCCATCCTGCTCGACCACGGCGCCGACGTCGCGATCGCGAACAACAACGGCTTCAACGCGCTGCACCACGCGGCGCTGCGCGGCAACCCGGGCGCGATGCGCATCCTGCTGTCGAAGCTGCCGCGGCCGTGGGTCGTCGACGAGAAGAAGGACGACGGCTACACGGCGCTGCACCTCGCCGCGCTCAACAACCACCTCGAGGTCGCAGAGCTGCTCGTGCAGCAGGGCAAGGCCAACCTCGACCTGCAGAACTGCAACCTGCAGACGCCGCTGCATCTCGCCGTCGAGCGGCAGCACACGCAGGTAACGTGACGCGCGGGTATTCACGCGGGAAGACGGGCGGCCTTGTCGCTGAAACGAACGGTGGCGTGACATAGCGGCGGGTATGTCCACCGCAGACAGACGGGGCGGGCCCCTCCCTATGTCGCAACGAACGGGGGGGGGGGTTCGCGCGGCAGACCGGGCGGCCCCTCCCTTGTCGCAACGAACGGGGGTGACATAGCGGGGGGGTATTGACGCGGGCAGACGGACGGCCCCTCCCTTGTCGCAACGAACGGGGGTGACATAGCGGGGGGTATTAACGCGGGCAGACGGACGGCCCCTCCCTTGTCGCAACGAACGGGGGTGACATAGCGTGGGTATTCGCACGGGCAGACGGACGGCCCCTCCCTTGTCGCAACGAACGGGGGTGACATAGCGTGGGTATTCGCACGGGCAGCGGACGGGGGTGACATAGCGTGGGTATTCGCACGGGCAGCGGACGGGGGTGACATAGCGTGGGTATTCGCACGGGCAGCGGACGGCCCATTCCTGTCCAACCAGATCATGAAGTCAAATTGTGTTTTTATGCAGCAATGTGCCTTTATTATTATATCGGCCAGTGATTGTAAATATCACGTTCGTCTCAGTTCCCTTAGATGATAAATATAGCGACTTTCTTTCAAGACGGGCGTCCCCTCGTAGCAACGAATGGGGGTGTTCTTCTTAGGGAAAAAAATCAGCGATGAGTCAGCCGGTTGGGTTAAAAGGCTAAGAGTCGGAGAAAAGTGCGGGATAATGGACCGTTTGTCCCGATTACCCTTATCCACGTCGACGATGTTAAACGAAAGTTTAAATGGTATCTGATTGCTGATTGCGAACATCGAAGCTTGGATTTCTCTCTTAGATCGTACGGCTGCTGGTGAGAGAGAAGTGCAACCTGAATATTCCCGATAAAGATGGTGACACACCGCTCCACGAAGCCCTGCGTCATCACACCCTGTCACAGCTCAGACAGCTGCAGGACATGCAGGTATGCCTCGTTCTACTTTTTAACTCACAGTCAGCTAGATTTTGGACCTGAGTTAGGATGAGAAATTAAGTACTATTGGTTAGTAGAAAAATCTAGAGCTCGGGGGCCCTTAAAACCAATTTATATTTTTTTCAATCTACCCTCGAAATCCATATCTATTATGTCCACAATTTATCAATGATAATAACAAGTTTAATAAACCAAATATATATTTATATGGGAAAATATGTACGTTATTGAAGCCTAGTTATAGAGCCAACTCTTCAAATTCTGAACGCCCTCAAAACCGAATTATACATCGTCGACTGCTTATTGCTCGGCTACACCGACTCAAATGTCAAATTATCAGCAAATTGTCGAAATGTAAAATGTCAACACAATACATTTTGCGCGCGGGCATCGTTGCAGGACGTCGGCAAGCTGCTGATGGGTCTCGGCACGCAGGGCTCGGAGAAGAAGAGCAGTGCGTCGATCGCCTGCTTCCTGGCGGCCAACGGCGCCGACCTCGGCATCAAGAACAAGAAGGGTCAGACGCCGCTCGACCTCTGCCCCGACCCGAACCTGACGAAGGCGCTTGCCAAGTGCCACAAGGACAAGACGAGTCCGGCGATGACGCCGTCGAACGCTGCGAACATCCGCAACGACCAGGAGAGCCTCGAGGAGTGCATGGTCTGCTCGGACATGAAGCGCGACACAATCTTCGGGCCGTGCGGCCACATCGCGACGTGCAGCCTCTGCTCGCCGCGCGTCAAGAAGTGCCTCATGTGCAAGGAGCCCGTGCAGTCGCGCACGAAGATTGAGGAGTGCGTCGTCTGCTCCGACAAGAAGGCGTCGGTGCTCTTCCACCCGTGCGCGCACATGTGCGCGTGCGACGGCTGCGCAAACCTCATGAAGAAGTGCGTGCAGTGCCGCTCGGCGATCGACAAAACGATCCCGTTCATCGTCTGCTGCGGCGGCACACCGCCGGCGCCTCCGCAGGCGGTCGGCGCGGGCCTGATGAACAACGGCGCGCGCGACTCGACGCAGCAGGACATCGCGAAGCTGCAGCAGCAGCTGCACGACATCAAGGAGCAGACGATGTGTCCCGTATGCCTCGACCGTCTGAAGAACATGATCTTCCTGTGCGGCCACGGCATGTGCCAGATGTGCGGCGACCGCATGAACGAATGTCCCATCTGCAGGAAGACGGTTGAGAAGAGGATACTGCTCTACTAGGCAGCAGCTGGCGGCGGCGGAAGCGGGCGGACTGCCTCGCTCGTGACGTCGGAAGGTGTTCCCTGGCCAAGCGGAAATGGGACTAATCGTATTAGGCGAGCTATGGCGACCTACTCCGAAGGTGTGCACTAAAAGTGGGGTCGCCCGTAGTTGCATGTGTAGCGCTTCATCTCTCAGTAGTATTGCGAATCGGAGTGACGTGGTCATTCTCGCGGGGGTGTGTGGTTGTAGTAATGAGCTATCTTTAACCGGTGCCTATGTTGAACCTGCTATGTTTGCTGCTCTCTCCGCTGGATGACTCGGACTCGGACGTAGGAACTGTGATACGTTGCGTGTGCGGCGTTCTCGACGCTCTCACCTAGCATTGTCTGTAATGAACTGCGTCGAAAGTGTCTCTATTACCTGTGTCATGCAGTAGTGAGGTTACGATTCTTTGCGTGTACGTATAGGCGCTTTTCCACCGAGTTACTTGCTTCTGCAGTGTAGAATCTGTGTACTGATTGCTCCGTACGTCCGGAGTAGAATGTGAGTGACGGTATGATGAAGTCAAGTGTCTAAGCGGTACGGCCGTACGCAGGGAGGAGGAATAAGGAGCAGCTCTGTGTTTGTGAAAGAATAAAGTGAGTTTGGCAGGTATAGTGACACTAGTCACCCTGCAAGACTGTAAAGCCATGTCAAAGCTACTATCAGCTCACGTTGGTAACCAGATCCCGAAGTGAAATTGTGTTTTTATGCAGCAATACGCTTTTGTTATTACATCGGGGGCATGTACGGTCAGCTATTGTAAATATCACGTTCGTCTCAGTTCCCTTAGATGATAAATATAGCGACTCTCTTTCAAGTGATGAGATTGTGTGTATTCTGTTCTGTAAGCATCATGTGCGTGTGCTGTGGTGGGAACAATCGCCATCTCTTGTAGAGGAAATGCCATACATGCGACGAGTTTGTTAGTGTATATCATCATTATTATATTGTCACTAATTATACATAATAATATGTATATAATA